CCGCCTCGCCTCGGTGCGCGCGCCGGGCTCGGGGCTGCGGAGCGGGCGCGCGCTCAGCTCCGCCCTCCGCCCCCGGCCGCGCCGCGGCCCCGGCCTGCCCCCGCCCTCCGGCGCGGCCGGAGACCACCTGCCCCGCCGCCCGCCCTAAGGCGCCTGCTGTTTAGAGAGCTGGGAAATCAGAACGTTCGCCTTCCCACTCCCTGTACACCTCTGGGACAAATCGAAGTTCGCGACCGCTGGATTTGCCTACAGGAGGGGCCCCTTCTTCTACAAGCAATGAGCGTGTGCCCCTCCGTGGCACTAGCCCTCCCTGAACCTGTTCCCGGGGCGACCGCCGCAGGCCTAGCCCCGGCCTCTGGTGGCCTCGAAAACTGGGTGCCGCCGCGGGCCACCTCCCCCAGCCCCAGAGGGAGTTTGCCTTCCGTCTGTGGGCCCTTTGCCCCCTCCTCATGAGCAACTGTTTTCCCCTTTCCACAAATGGAACTTTCAGAGGAGTCTGCTCCCCATTAATGCAGTTCTACACTGGCCTCCGTAAACGTTGTCTGCCACGTGTAAATACAATCCTATGCTCCCCAGCGTGCCAGCCCTGACCTGTTCTCCTCCCCATGCCCCCCAACACAATGCCTCCTGCCTGTCACAGGGGTCTTCCTTCCTGTCCCACATTTCCCAGGCCCTGCCCCCCGCCTGCCCACACCAGGTCTCAACTGTTGAATTAGAAAATAAAGTAAAATGTGGGCTATCCATACAATGGAATATTATCCAGCCATAAAAAGGAATTATTCGCCAGAAGAATAATAGAAAAGAAAAAAAAAAAAGGAATGAAATACCAACGTGGATGAACCTTGAAAACACTATAAGAGACCTGTCACAAAAGACCACATATTGAATGATTTCATTTACATTAAATGTCCAGAACCTGTAAATCCATAGAGACAGAACACAGATTGGTGGTTGCCAGGGGCTGGGGGAAGAAAAACTGGGTTTGAGGTTTCCTTTTGGGGTGATGAAAAAGTCTGGAACTAGATAGAGGTTGCACAACATTATGAATGTACTTAATGCCATTGAATTAAACACTTTGAAATGGTTTAAATGGTAAATGTTATGTTGTGTTATTTGACCCCAAAGGGGGGGGGGGACTAAAAGTAACACATCATTGCTGTGCGTAATCTCAATCTAATCATGAGAAAACATCCGAAGAACCCAAACTGAGAAATATTCTGCAAGATAATTAACGAGTACTCATTAAAAGTGTCAAGGTATGAAAGAGGAGGAACTGTCACAAATTAGGAATGATCACTGAGGAGATAACAACTAAAAGGAACATGGGATCCTGGTTTGGAACACGGAATGGAAAAGGACTTTAAAGGGAGAACTGGTGAAATCTGCATAAGGCCTGCAGTTTAGTTAATAGCATCATGAGGTTGTTAATTTCCTGGTTTTGATCCTGTACAGTTGGCCCTCCAGATCCATGGATTCAACCAACCTCGGATTGAAAATATTCAAAAAAAACAATTGTATCTGTACTGACCATATACAAACTTTTTTTTCTTTTTTTTTCCTTTTTGTCTTTTTTCGTGACCGGTAACGGGATCGCAACCCTTGGTGCCGCGCCCGCACCGCGCTCAACCAGTGAGCGGGGACCGGTCTCTATATGGGATCCGAACCCTCGGCGGGAGCACCGCCACGCTCTCAAGCGCCACACTCTACCGGGCCGGCCCCCAAACTTTTTTTTTTTTTCTTGTCATTATTCCCTAGACAATACAGTATAACAACTATGTACATGGCGTTTACATTGCATTTGGTATTATAAGTAATCTAGAGATGATTTAAAGTATATGGGAGGATGTGCAAAGGTTATACGTAAATACCAAGCCATTTTACATGAGGGACTTGAGCATCCAAGATTCTGGTATCCACAGGAGTCCTAGAATCAATCCCTCACAGATACCAAGGGATGACTGTGCTATGGTTATGTAAGATATTAACATTAGTGGAAGCCAGGTGTAGAGTGTAGAGGATCTCCCTACTATTTCTGCAACTTTTCAAGTATAGAATTTTTTCAAAGTAAAAAAAATTTTTAAGTGAAAAATAAAACTTTATTGAGAATCAACTATGTGCCAGGCACTCAGGTATCTGAGATTCAGAAAAGTAGCATTGCACAAGCTACTAAATGGGATAATAGTAAACTAACATCGACCAAATGTTGTAAGTGCCAGAAACTACTGAACACTTTCACTTGTGACCTATTTGGTCTTACCACAACTCTCTGAGGTAGATATTATTGTCCCTCATTTAGAGATGTGAAACCAGGGATTGAAGAGAAATGCACCCAAAGTCCCACAAAGGGCAAATGAAGAGCTCACATTCGAAACCAGATCTCAGACTTCCGAGACCGTGAATGGCCCTGGCACTACCCTCTGTGACCCTCAGCACAGACCCTAACTGTCTCCTCCATCAACCCAGCTGGACAGGAAGCCCTTGGAGACAGGCCTCACAACTTCCATTTCCCCCATTTAATGCAATGCTGATCCTGATTTTCCTAAACAATCTGCAAGGTGACCTGTCTGCACTTTTCCTCCCCTCCTCAAATCATTTCAGACCCCCACCATTTGTGGTGACTTCCGCATTTGTAAATTAGCCATGTTGGGTTTTTAGACACAGGTAATGATCATACCAGCCTTCCAATTTCTCTCTTGCATGTGCACTGGAAGCAGTTTGGCTGCATTCCCTACTGTTGAAACTGCTGTTGAAGCCTCTAAGCTGCCAGAGCCTCCATGAGCTCCAGGTTAGGGGGTGAGTCATTCCATCAACCCTCAGCGGCTGAGGAGGTTGTGCCTGGCACAGTGTTTCAGGCCCTGAGGTCCAATGATATGCCATCTCTATCTTTCAGGGTCCCGTAAAAGATGCCCTGGGAAAGGGTTGGATTAAGAAGATGGGATCGATTAGGCTTGGCAACAGATTGGATGTGAGGGCGGATCCTACAAATGAGGTTAACCATGTTCTCATAATGCCAAGACCCAGAAGAAAGTCACAGAGGGTTCTGGGTCCTTCTCCTTGACCCCCAGAAAACATAAAGATGCCTGATACCCAGAAGATACAGGACCGATGCAGTGTCTTTCCCCAACCGTCCAATCCAGCTTGCTGCCAAATCTGCAGGGTTTTTCTCTATCTGTGATGTACACAGAACTCCCACCCAGATGCAGATTGAAGCAGAACGTGCCCACACAAGCTCCACAAAAGCTTACAGAGAGCCTCACCTGCCCCAGCATCTCATCCGCACCCTCCCTCACATGCAAGTTCACCTGATTGGTGAGGACCTTGGCTACAAGCTATCAGGAGTCACGGGGTGTCAGCCATGACCAACTTTGAGATAGATACATATTGATTGAGCTCTGGCCATTCTCATCAGACTGTTACCTGAGGTCTTGGCTGTGCCCACATTAGTTTTAGTTGTCAGGTGGGCAATTATCTTAGAGAACCACCTCTGGAAAATGAAATACCTGCTGTTATCGGATCATGTGTCCAAAGGTGCACTTGCAAGCTTTGAGTCCTTTCTTCTTTCAACTGATGAGTTTGAGTTTGTAGGAATCTACCCGCATTTTTTTCTTACCATTGACTTCCTTGATCCTGATGGTTGGTCACACTTCCTCTCACAGCGACAGAGGATCAGGT